TTAGCATAAATCCTAATTTTCTAAACAGATATTAAACTACCAAACAAATACTCAAATAAAATAAATACATGAATTAATTAAATTTATTAAACTAATAATAATATTTATTAAACTAATAAATATTAAATATATTAAAAAATTAGAAAAAATAATTAAAAAAAAATGGGTGGCGCCAACGGGCGCCCATCAGGTGGTTGGCGAGCATTTGCTCGCCAACTCGGACAGAGGTGGTGCCAGAATGGCGCCACCACCTTCGCCGATGGCGAAGGCCGTCTCGCCTCCCTTTACAGGGAGGCGAGTTTATTGCACGCCACCCCCATAGGAGTGGCGTGTTTCTCCTGCGCTAGCCGTTAATGGCTGGCGCGGTCCTCTCTCGCCCCCCCTCTCTTTCGAAAAAAAAAACTTACGTCCATTTTACAGGGGCGTGTCGATCTTTTACGGGCGCTCAAATGAAATAATAAGGGCGTTCAACAGTTCGACCCAATGTTTTAAACAGAAGCTTCAAAGTTGGTGGGAGTTACTTCTTCGACAAAAGTATTGTTTTATGAAGTTTGAAAATTTCATGTTTTCTTGGCCATGTATTTGCCAAGGTTACGCATGCTTTCTCATTTTCCAAATGGAGTATAAATATTTTTAGTTAGCTTTCTTGTGTGGTTCAGAGTAAATAAATTGGGATCCAAACATTGTAAAAAAGAGTAATAAACATGATGTAGGTGTAAAAGTCTGCACTATTGACTTGTATATTTTTTAGTTGATGATGCTCTTTCTCCACTCTCCTTTAGAGTGGAGAATGTGTAAAGTGCTGAACTAAAGAAGGGATACTTTTTTCAAAAAAAATTTAAATAAGATGATGGGATACTTATATATGTGAATAAATCAATTTTATTTTTTTTGTCTAGGGGTTAAATTTATGCACTATATGATGGATGTTAAATCTATCAGAATGCACCACCCACTCTCCCACACATTCACACAATACTGGGCAAAATCACTACCTTGTGCATGCGCGAAATGTCGGTTGCGATAGTTATTATATATTTTAAGTGGTGACGGAGAGAGTAATAGACAACAAATAGTTGAGTCTGTTTTACTATTTACAAAGGTTTGGGAGAAAAAAAAAGGATACCAAATAGATAGAGCATCAATTGCTATCTCCGCATTCTTCATTGTCCCCGTAAGAAGAATCAATATAGTGTAGTAGCAGAGATCAAGGCTACATGAAAAAAAAAAAAAAAACTAATTATGTCGCTTCAACTAGTCTTATATCACTGTAACAATCATTACTCTCAATATTGTACCAGTTAAATCTTAAAACTAATTATGTTACCATATCATTGCACCGGATGCTAAAGAGAGCTTCGCAATTGGGAGGAGATCTTTGAAAGCCAAGGAAGAAAATTCTTTCCAGGTTTCTTGGCATCCTCCATGGAAGATAAACAAAAGCTGTCCAACATTGGGTATCCAGAAAGCCAATATCATAGAAATCATGGTTCCAGAAATTCCAAACTTGTATTTAATCATCAAAAGCCATGACAGGAATACGTGAAGTGATAGAGAAACAACCGCTAAGTATGCGATGATCATGTTCTTACTCTGTGACTGGAGAAACATCTGGCAGGTGAAAGATATGATGTAGGAGTATACCACCGGAATAGCCAAAGAGCAATTTTCCCGGCCTCGTTAGCGATAACTTTCTCCTGCCCCAAACCTCTCAAGATTGGGGCCGCAAAGATAAAAACCGGCAAAATTAGGGTTGTCGATATAGTTAAAAGAATCCATGATCGTTGTAGATAGATCCCAAGCATGTGATATTGTTTTGCTCCATAAGCTTGGCCACACAAAGTTTTCACTCCACTAGTCATTCCGAGCTGTTAAATGTAAACATTAGTATTTCAGCAGATGAAGAGAAGTACTGGTGGTCTGGTACACTAAATATGATTCTTACTTTGGGACGAATGTTGTATAAAAGTTTTGTATCAATCAAAACTAGAGTTTTCTACACTTACCAATATGCTGTTTGCAAACCTCAAAAAAACATAGAATCAATGAGAATGCTGCAAGCTCTATCGCTCCAATGTGTCCCACAAATGCTCGAGTGATCAAATTAGTCCCAAACATAGTGTATCTTGTAAATATGGCTGGAGCTGCAATTACCCACATTTTTTTGGATTCATTCCATATTTTCTTCCCTAGTCGATTTTCTTTCTCTTCTTTGTTTCTTTGATCTTCAACTTTTCTCAACAGTTCCTCCTCAACGATATTCTCTGACATCTTAGAATATAATTAACCACCTTCGCTAGCTACCTGGAACACAAAAGAATTACCCCATTAGAAAAAACTATTTTCATTCATCAGGATAAGACTCTTGTTTGTTGATGAAGGGAATGCATGAATTGTAATTTTCAATGGCGGTGCAGCCTAGTTCCTAGCTTCTAAAGATGATAGGGATAATCAACTTTGAATTTGACAAATGAGATAGGTTCTCTTGGCCTTTTTATATGCCTTTTAAAAGTACAATGGAAATTAAATGACCAATAATTTTCATACAAAGACAGTATTTGTTTATAAAAATGATGATAATCATAACAATGCTTTTTCGAATTTTTCAAATGATAAAAAAACAGAAAAGAAAAGATTAGTGTCACTATACATAGGTGCTGTAGTTAATCACGGGTTAATGGTGGAGGCGGCCGTATTAGAGAGTTTAGACTAAACATTTGATCTGATTGATACATATTTTGCGGGAAAGCAAAGAAATGCAAATGTTGAGTCGTTTAGCCAGCATTTGTGGCAAATGGCAATCAACTGCCATTTCTACCGTCCCTTCGACTGAATTGACCACTCAATAATTTCACGATTGTGTGTAATAGATAGAAACACAAAATTAGATACTTCATCTGTTTCGAAAAAAATAGTTCATATTGAATTTTTAAATTTACATTATTTTTAATACAAAAATCAAAACTAAATGTGAACTGTTTTTTGCTACCGGAGGAGCATAAAACTATAGTAATTATAAAACCGCTTATGTAGTAAAGCAATATATTGAGGTTACATATAATCAAAGAGTCTTCCTTTCTTAAATATAATTCATCTGAGGCTCTGAGCAATATTCCAGTCTCCTTATCTTTGTGTTTTCCCCCCCTATATTATGGGAAAGATAGCCAAACTCGTCTTTATTTCTCTTTAAGTACGTATCACAAATTTAAGTATACGTAACCTATTACCTACTTCCATTATACTTAAACTGCTAGATAGAGAACTCCTTTCATCTTTCATCAAAGTAATGATTTATCCTTTAAATTCCAAGTGATCATTAAAATTACTGAAAAGAACAATATCGAATAATTCAGAAGGAGAAATCATCAACCGAATGAAACAGGAAGCAAAGAAGAATTACAAAACAATCCCTCCCCCAAGTCACATACAATGAAAAACAAAAGGGAAAATGAAGGCAGGCGGGGGGGGGGGTGGCAATTAAAATTAAAGGGAAAGGAAAGGAAGGCAATTAAATGAAAACAACGCATTATTTTTTTCAGAAGGAGAAATCAGAAGGAGAAACTTCGCCACTTTGAAGGGTGGGTTCTCCTCCAATCGTCCTTCCTTTCTGGTTTTCGGAGGAGGGAAGCGATGGAATTTGGAAGTGTAGTGCAGTGATATTTGAGAAGAAATAGAAAGAACCTTCAGCAAGTTAGTTCCATACTTCACCAGAAAAATTCATTTGTTCATATAATCATGATGTGACAATATCTTTAGTTTTATTTTAATTAATTAAAATACATTTTGTCAAAATCCAATTGGCCCAACACAAGTTGAAGTCAAAATCCAATTGGTATTTGTTTTGGTTTGGCCGAATAATAGCAATACCAATTGGATTGTTTCTCTCTATATGGTTGATTTGGTTGGTTATTCTATTTTATTAGTAATATGAAAAAAGTTTTTTTCCTAAGGTTGGTTTTCACTGATTTATTATATTTATGCCCTTTCCGCAATAACATAAGGGTGAGTTCTCCTCAAATCGTCCTTCCTTTTTGGTTCTTCCGGAGGAGAGAAACAATGGATTTTGGAAGTTTAGTTCGATGAGCTTTGAGAAAATTGAGTTGATAATGAAAGAAGAATAGAAAGAACGGTACTTCGGCAAGTTAGTTCCATACTTCACCAGAAAAATTCATTTGTTCATATGATCATGATCTGACAATATCTTTAGTATTTTTTTATTAATTAAAAAACATTTTGCCGTGATAAGAAACTATTAATTCTTCTATTTTAAAATAATTGCCCTATTTAAATTTAAATGTATATAATTATTGTGAGACAAAAAGTATTCTTTTTTTAACTAAAAAATTATGTCATTTCTGACTCGACATACTTGACTAAGTACACCAGATGATGACCCGTGAAGTGTGACCACGAGTAAACATATGTTCAAGTTTTGTGATTTTCCTTCCATCAGAATGCGATGGTTCATTTACAGTATTAATTTAATTAGTTCAACCGAGTAGACTGTCAAAGGTCTTTCTAGCCTATTTTGATGATTTATTTTGTTATATTACTATATTCAACAAGATTAGATAATTATTCATTAAAGTGATACGGAAAGTGCATTATTTTTTCTCGTTAAAACCTAAACTCCAATGTTGTTTAGGTCAAAGTTAAACACGACTCAAACGTTGATATAGATAAACTCATTTTGTTTAATGGTATTCATTTTGTTTTGGAGCGAAGAGTAGATACTTGTACATACAGTATTCTTTAGTTTTTGAATTTTGTATAGACACAAGATGACTTACAAAGATTTTAGGATCAGAAATCCCCAATTATTTTTCGACCTTCTTGGAAGGATCTCCCATTTTATTAATTTTAGTTTAGAATTTGATTACTCAAAAATTGAAAGACTTGAGCCAATAATCTTTTGTTGATTATTTTGAAAAGAACCATATTACTAAGGTGTTTTTTAACCTTTTGAACTTAAAGAGTATCTTCAATTTCTATCAATCTTTTGGCTGGTATAAGAAAGAAAGAATACACGAAAAAGATTACTCAATGTTCTTCTAAGTTTAATCTTCGTACTTCTTTCTCGAGAAAAAAACAATGCCATACTATAACTAGTCATACATTCAAGTTCACTTTATCATAGTGACATTTTACATTCCCACCAAACAGAGAAGGAGCTTGAAGCATGCAATAGCCTAAATGGACATTATATATCAATTACCAATCGATTTATTGTATTGAACATTGATCAGGAAAACAATTAATAATCATAACTTTTTGTCAATTGGATTGCGAGCAAGTCTCATCAGACTGCACAAACCACTTATTGACTCTTTGCTGAGCATCTAAGACCTAGAAAAAATGCAAAACAAAAAAGATGCGTCAAATTAGTTATCAGGACATAAAATTAGCTTCTCATCATACAAAATCCTCAAAAGGAAATATTTATTGGGAAAAAATAAAATAAAATAGTACCTGTTTATTCCAATCAGTTCTGAGTGTCATTACAACAAGTACAATAGTTTGCATTAATGTGCCAATCAACATCCCAATCCAAACACCCTGAAAAAGAAATATCAAATCTATACTTTAAGTGCAACTTCATTATTGAGATAAAATATACATTTTAGTGGAAACAAACCCCCCCAAAAAAAAAGGATTGCTTCTAATGAATCAAATGGATATTGAAACTTACTTTAACTTGCAAGTTGAATACATAACCAAGAATTACTCCAATAGGCACCCCTATCAAGTAATAGCAACCAACATTGACATATGCCACGCTGCTTTGCCATCCTGCCCCCACAGCAACTCCTTCATCATATAGAAAAAAATGATAGTGTTACATGGCATTTACTTATTTACTCCCTTCGTCCCGGAAAATAATGACTAATTTAAGACTTCACTTTTAGCATAAATTATACTAAAAATAAAAATTTAAACTAAAAAATAATTATGGGACATAAGGATTACATTTCTCAATATATCAATTTGAAACTTGACGGGCATTTCTTCAATTTTATACATATAATAATTATTAAAAAAACGAGGTCACTTTGTTCGTTTAAAAAATTGAAGGCTTACCGGAAAGAACAGGTTGAACACTGTTCAAGAGTATTGAGAATGCTAACAAAGGTGATAAGTAACCAACTGCTATAGCAACATCTTTACTTGTGGTAAATATGTAAGCGAGACGTTCCCGGAAGAACATAAAGAATATGAACAATACGAATCCGATCCCCAACGATGTTAACACCGTAACCCATACAGAAAATTTTGCTGCATTGGCACTCCCACTTCCAAGCTCATTAGCAACTCGAACACTAGAACATTCAAAAACAAAAGAAAAAAAAAAAAAAAGAAAAGAAGAAGAGAGAAAATCTTCTTTAATTAAAATGAACATGAGTACCTGACTCATATTGTAGAATCAATTTTAGACTTGCTTGATGAGATTTATCTCTGATTGAAATGAAAGATGAAATTTGAGAAATGATGTCAAAGTTCTTTTTCCAATTTAAGAGATGAAATCGAATTAATTGGAGATGTTTAAATGAATAAAAAACTGTAATATGGGAGGGGGAAAAAAGTACTAACAACTTCAGTACCTAGCAGCAGCTAGGAAGCCAAGAGATATCATCATCTCCCAACCATTTATGTTAATGCTGTAATCCAAAAAACAATTTTAGTTCGTGTCAGACAGACAAAAAGTTAAGAATAATATAGCAAACATATGAACAGAAGAGTCTTTTTTAATTCCAAAAAAGGCTCTTACGCTATTTCAATTCAGCAAATATGACTCTAATTTGTGTGTGGAAGAAAACATTACCAAATAGATAGAGCATCAATAGCTATTTCTGCGTTCTTCAACGTCCCCGTGAGAAGAATCAATATAGTGTAGTACCAGAGCTCAAGGCTACAACAAATTGTCCAAAATGAATATCATTTCACTGGAACAACTGGTACTCTTATTTAATGAATCAAATCTTAACCGACAATGTGCTAGCTTTGTTACCATATCATAGCACCCGATGCTAAGGAGAGCCTCATAATGGGGATGAGATCTTTGAAAGCCAAGGAAGAAAACCCTTTCCAGGTTTCTTGGCATCCTCCATTAAAGATAAAAAGGAGCTGGCCAACATTAGGAATCCAGAAAGCCAATATCATAGAAATCATGGCACCAGGGATTCCATAGTTGTACTTAACCGTTAAAAGCCACGAGAGAAACACGTGAATCGATAGCGAAACAACCGCCAAGTAGGCGATGATCATGTTCTTACTCTGTGACTGGAGAAACATCTGGCAGGTTAAAGATAAAATATAAGAGTATACCACCGGAATCAGCCAAAGCGCGATTTTTCCGGCCTCTTTCGCGATATCTTCGTCCTGTCCTAAAGCTCTCAAAATTGGGGATGCGAAAATGAAAAGAGGTAAGATCACAGTTGTTGATATTGTTAAGATAATCCATGATCTCTGTAGATATATCCCAAGCATGTGATATTGTTTTGCTCCATAAGCTTGGCCACATAGAGTTTCCAATCCGCTAGCCATTCCGAGCTGTTACAGAGTTAGCATTATTTCGGGACATATAAAACGTCAAAAAAAAAAAAAGAGTCACGTTTGCTGATCTAAAATGAATCGAAACAGAACATACCAAAATGCTATTTCCAAACCTCAGAAGAACAGTTAGAATCAAAGAGTATGCGGCGAGCTCGATTGCTCCAATGTGACCCACAAATGCTTGAGTGATTACATTAGTCCCAAATGTTGTGAATCTGGTGAATATGGCTGGAGCTGCAATCACCCACATTTTTCTAGATTCATTCCATATTTTCTTTCCTAGATGATTTTCTTGATCATATTCGTTTCTTTTGTCTCCGACTTTTATCAACAGTTGCTGCTTGATATCTTCAGACATCTTATAGGAACAAATTTTGCAAACCTGCGACAAAATTAAAGAAAATTTGACGGGAGGAAAATTGTAAGTTTATTTTTAAGCAGTAATCACTTCTACAAAAGATATTTAATCATCCACAACTAAATGTTCGAAATGTTAGTTTGTAATATAGACATTAATATTGAAGAGAGAAAATGTACACGAGTTAATTTTTTTTTTTTCAGCGTCACAAGCCCATGTAATAAACAGAAGATTGTTTCGGTCTCATTAATTTAAGCCGTTTCACCTTTTTTTTTTCCTAGTATAAATTATGTTCGTTAATGAAATTTCAGATTTTCCTTTCAGCATCGGTAATAGTTCAGCCTTCAAGCGGCACAAGTTTTTTGTTTTATTTACTTATTTATTATTATTTTTTTTTTGTCCTTCTTCTGTCAATAATGCAACCACCAAAATTAAGCTATTCAAGATCGACGTACTAATCAACATTCTTACCTACTCCAACATACATTCTTTATTTTCTTAAAAAAATAAAAATAATAACTTAAAAAAACTCTCTAATCTCACTGAAAACAAACAAGCAAAACCAAGATAGCCTTCAAAAAGCATTGCGCAGTTTAAGGACAACAATTAACCATCTGCATTGTCATTTCTACGTGACATAATAAGGTCAATAATGACCCAACAAACCTGAAACTTTTTAGTCAAATTTTATAACTTTTTTGTTATGTTTTTATGTGGCATAAAATTTTGAACATTTGATTGGTACATAAAGCAAAGAACAAAAATTCTGACACGTCTCATGAGCATCTGTTCTGTGGCTATTCACTCTCACGGTATACATTATCGAAGATATTTTGGAAGAATTTTTCGAGCACTAAAGTCATTTCTTTTTTAAAAAAAAAAAATCCACCCCAGTAGATCCCACTTAAATGTGGGTAAAATCCCTCCTTATAATTCTTGGTGAGAATCGAACTCGGGTCTATTAAAAGACAACAACCTAACCACTATACTGTCATTCAATTCCCATCACTAAAGTCATTTCTTATTAGAGCAATTTAATCAAACAAGTAAAGATGTAGTAACTCCGGAAAATCATTACACTTAATACAGTTTTAGTTTACCGAAGTAACATTTATTTCTGGAATTAGAGAGTATAAATCTATGAGTTTAATCCATCTTACTAGCAAGGTATCATAACATTAAAAAATAAAATAAACACACATACACACACACTAATGCTGATATTAGGTCTACAGTATCACAGTGCAGATTAGTGGACTGAAAAACTTAAACTGGCAATGAGAGGAGATGCATAAGAACTCATATTCCGGGCACAAGTTTTTTAAATGTTTTTATACGGGACAAATTGGCAGGTTTTTCTAAACTTTTTTATTAATTTATTCCATCCTAAAAATATCATTTCATTCTTAACACAAAAAAAGGAACCAAATTTCAATTAGTTGCGACACAGCGCTGACTGAATCAAAGCTTACTCAAACGATTTGAAAAACTTGTCAGTTTCTGCCATAAACTCAGCAAAAGTAGTAGTAAGCAAAAGTACACAAGAAGTTTACATGTTGGTAATGTTAATCGATCAGAGCCTTATAGAGGACTGAGAAATTAATCTTCTCATATCGTTTCATGGTTCATTAAAAGCCAAAGTAATGTTAGGTCCTAGATAAGAACGAGCAAATCATTCAAAAGCTACCAGAATAGCATGAGAATTAGAGGGGTGATGGAATGGAGGAGAAAAGCAACAAATAATTAATGGCTTTTGAAAACTTACAAAAAAAGTGCTTGATGAAAGTTGGCTTCTTCTCCTCCAAATCGGAAGTTGTCTCTTCAATACTGAAAGGGTCTGTGAGGCTACGAACAATCAATCGAATGATCGAACAAGTAAAATATTGGTAGTTCAAGTTGTTTGGAAGTTGTGGTGTACTTCATTGATGAGAGAATATATGCAGTAGAGAGTGAGCCGGAATACGCAATAATTTTGGTGGGCACCCGCTATATATAGCAAGGATCAGTGTTGACGGTTCTCATGATCGCATATACTAAATTTTTTATTATTTAAACTGGAAAAATGTTCTGGTAAAGTGAATTATTTTATAACAATAATAATATATGATCATGTAACTATCATATTTGGACCCCATAGATCACGTATTGTAATTCTCTTCCTCTTCTCCTCCCTAGCCGCACCCCTCCCCCAATAGCAATCTCTCTTCTCTCTCCCCATCAATCATTCATGGTGGATGGGGATTGGGGAGCACAACCTTTTTGAATTTAGTTTTATTCTTTACTGTTTAGTTTTCTTGTAGTAGGAGTTTTTCTCTTCTATTTTTCGGAAGTCTTGTTTCTCTCATTTTGAGAGATTTGTTTCTCTGTTATTTTCTTTTTAATGTGTTTATGAACAGATCTTGTCAAAGTATATAACTATCTTGAGCTCCCATTTCAAAACCAATTGGCAATGAGTGGGGTGATTTTTGACACTTATATACAGAGTTACATCTCTTCACGGTGGGGATGTCGGACAGATTATACACTTTAACACCCTCCCTTAAGTCTAATGAGTCTTTGAACTTTTTGCCCAATGGACTTGGATCAGTACAAGAATAGAATAGCCCACGAAGCAATGCTTAAGTGGAAGAAAGCCAGTTATACCGTGGATCGGTTCACAACAAGCCCACAAGTCAATGCTCAAGTGGGAGAAAAGTCAATTATACCGCTGGATCGGTCCACAACAAGCCCACGAATCAATGCTCAAGTGGGAGAATATAAAATCACCACGGACCACTTTCGGCCCAGAACATCACCATAGGCCCAGACCGTTCTGATACCATGTCAAACTATATAAGTACCTCTGACTCCCATCTCAAAACTAATTGGCAATAAGTGGGGTGACCTTTGACACTTATATACAGAGTCACTTATTTTCACGGTGGCAATGTGTTTATAAACAGATCTGATAAACGGAGAAGATTCATGGTCGATTGAAGGCAATAGAGATGTACATACCAGTCTAAAGATCAACAAGGAAATATTTGCTACAGAAATAAGTTTTATAGTCGGTTTTTTTCGAGAACTAGATCCAAATCTGCAGTGTAAGTTAGGTCATGTGTATTTAGTATTTCTTTGTAATATTGGTTCTCTTCTAGTCCTTCTACTACTTGTAATATTTTTTTCTGTAATCAGTGAAATTATTACAACTTAGCTCAAATTAGTTAGTCCTAGAGTTGTACACAAGGTTAAATCTATACTCATCTATTGTGGCTAGTTTTGACATGAATGACTAGTTGTTTTAGATTAATCAACGGTTATTGTAACTCAACCCTTTTGTGGTTATGTAATACTCACCCGAATTTCTTAATATATTATGATTATCGCTTGTGATAAAAAAAAATTATGTATAATAATTAATGGGTTATAAAAGATAACCGGCCCTGTGATGTGTGCTGTCTGTTTTTTTTTCTTTTTCCCATCAATAATTAGTCATATGCTAGATATTAGACCCGCGCGGAGTTTATTCATATATATTTATTAATTGTAAAAGAAAAAATCAAATTTTAAATGTAAAAAAAATAAATAAACATAAATTCTTTTGTAACAATAAACTCTTTATGAGATCGCACGGATTTATTCATATATATTTATTAATTGTAAAAGAAAATTTCAAATTTTAAATGTAAAAAACAAATAAATAGAAATTCTTTTGTAATAATATACACTTTATGAGTAAATGTAAATATATCATCTTCATAATAAAAATCTTGTATATACTATAAAATGATAATACTCCACAGCTTGTATAGAAAAGTGTAACAATGCAATAGATATAAGTACATAAAACTACCAAAATAATAAATAGAAATATTGCATGGCATCTTCACATTGGGCTTACCATCAGTTTTGTCCCTCCTTCATGTCATTTTACTGGTACAAATAAAATTGGTTACAACCATGTTTTTGATTAATTTTAATATATTGTACTACCTTAAAAAAAAAAAAAAATCTCATGTTTTTGTGCATTCAAGCCAAACAAAATACTATGCATTAGTGCCTCACTTTACTCTTCTTTTTTTGTTTTCTAGTTTGGAAGAAATTTTCTCGGCACACACTTTCATTTTATACAGTTCAACAACGTATTCTTGTTTTAATTGTTTTTATTGGATTTAACTATGAGTTTTCATTTTCATTTTTCGATTTTGAGATTAAATCGGTCGTTAAATTTTGATTAATTAGTGTTATCTAAATAATGAGAGAGCATCAGATGTGATGAATGCTCTAAGAAATTGTTGTGATTTACTCAAAAGAAGTGGCATGCATATAAAAAAAATTCGTTTTGGAACTTCATTCGAAAAATATCGGCAATAAGGCCAATTTTTTAGATTGAATAGATATTAATAAATTTACGTTCCGCAATCGTTAATTATAGTTTCAATTTTCATAGTAAACGATTCACAATAATAAATGAACGCAGTCATGATATGTTAACTATATAAATCAAATCTAGCTAAATGTTACAACTCACTAAAATCAATTTTTCGAGTATCAATTGTATTGCTGGCCTAAGGTTAGAGTATAACTCTGATGATTAAAGACCGAAATACAAAGGTGGCAGAAAAGTGCTGTCCTCTTCAAGAAGCCTAATAACCTGCTTAATCAAAATAGAAAATGTCAAAAATGATTTCATGGTGCTTGAATTAGTGCTTCCTTTTCTCCAGCCCTGTTGGTGATCAATTGATCAAATTAATATTGTTTGGAAGAAATAAAAATTTAAATCAATTCATAGCACCTGATTAGTGAACAAAATATCAATAAAAGATGAAGAAACACACTGATTTTGTGACGCAAGAAGCATTAATATCGACGAAATGCCTATAACTATTAAATTTCAATTAAATTAAACACATAGTACATAGGATCTGGCTCAAACACCATCCATATGTTTAAAACATTTATTTGGTTAACCTGACATACGCCGGATTCCCCTTCATGTTCAAGGGGTTGCCATATACAAATTCAATATATTTGAATAAAAGTTTTATATCCTCATGATATTGTGCTGAAAAATTTTAGAAAGAAAAATCGACATATATCAAATAATGGATATATATATATATATATATATATATATATATATATATTACGGGTTGTAGAGTACAAAATCAATACACTTATGGATAATTCCCCATTACGTGACTGGTTGAACTGTGGGTGAAGTCGAGCTACTGGCTAAACTGTGAGCTCCCCATGTCGTGAATGAGTTGCAACTGTGTATCACAACAGATTTTATAGTACTGAATGCGATATCATCATCTAGTGATTAGTAAAATCTCTAATTATACACTGATTACGGGATTTATTAATTTATAGTCTTTAATTGTCAAATTTGAATAAATCTCCATTTTGTGCAGATCATTAATTAGTTAATATATTTGAATTCATATTAGCCAAATTAATGTATGGATGTGAACCGGATAGAAGGAAAATTCTTATTAGTTAAATATAGTATCTATATGTTCACCAATCCTTTTTTTTTTTAATTGTAGTCTATTAATTATTTCTTTTAGGATTTACAGAATGCCGCTATTATTAAATATTAATGAGTAGTCATTCTATATTTATTTATGGGATTTGCTTCCTTTTTTTCTTTTTTTTTGAATTGTGTCCTATTGTAAATGGACGGGAAATAACAATATTAATTAATACATTACTGTTGATTGATATTGCTCTTGGTTTTTTTTTTTTTTTTTAATTGTAGACTATTTTTTGAAGAATTTTCACGATTCGGCGGGGATTTTTGGGGAGGGATTAATGAGTACGGTTATAATTTTAGAAATTCTTTGGGGGGAGGGGGAGGGGGAGGTGGGGAATGATTCTGATGCATTAATGTTCATTAGTCCCCTCTATTTAATTTGATTAATTCCCATTTTCTATTTTGAACTAATGTTTTAAATGCGATTTGACAAAAATTTATTTACAGTAAATTCGAAAAACTATTAGTATAATTGTTGTAAATATTTTTTAAGTAAAGCATTAGAAAAATAAAAAATATGATTTTTATCCTACGTGATAATGATGACGGGAGGAGTTTTTTTTTTTTTTTAATCTGGTTTCTCTCATAGCATAATAGTATAGATCTTTCACTTCATAACATCGATTACTAATTAATTTTGATTATTGGTTTTACACAAATTTAATTGTGTAGGATTTTTTTCGTGCATCCCGTTTGTTTATGTATTTGTTTTGGATGAGAACTAATTGTTGTTTTTTAAAATATATAATCATTCGCCTCACGACATCAATTATTAATTAATGTTAATTGATTGATTTTAAACAACTTTAATTGTTTAACATTTTTTAAATCCTGTGCATCTCGTGAATCGCATTAATTGTTTAGGTTTTTTTTTTCTAAATAATACCTGTTTGAAATTGTTGGAGGGAATTCATTTTTTCGCATTAATTTATTATTGATCACGATTATGAACATTCTTCCATCTTTCCATTTGCAGCTAATAATTTAAATTAAGTGCGATAAAGTTTATTTGCATAAAATCCAAAAGATTTTTAGTGTAATTGCATAAACTTTTATTTTTGTCATTTATTAAAAAAATAACACATAAGATTTTATCCTATGTGACACCTTTAGAAATCATTTTTGTTTTCTCTCTCTGATTTCTCTCTTAGTATAATATTATTATAGATTTCAATACGTAGGAACTACCTTCATTTGGATCGACTGGTCATTATTACATCTATTCAACATCCTTTTAGTCGTGGCATGTACTTCAAGTTTCTTTTAAGTGTTGTTAATTTTTGTTGTTCTTTTAATGTGTATTTATAGATTATTTTTGTATTGAATATAAAAACGTGTTTTAGAAAGATAAAAACATATGTTGAAAGGTTACATTTATAAATTAAAAAAATGCTATGAAAAAATCCAACAAAAAATAAACCAAACAGAGTAAATAATCAAAAGACATGATACAGAGCTCTTGAGAACGCTAATTTTTATTTGAGGGAGATTTAACACTTTTTTGAGATAACGAGACTATTACACAAATCTACAACTACACTAATACCACATTATAACTAAGGAAAATTCACGTGCAAGCCTTCTTCTAATACTCACAGATTGACAGATCCTACTTATTTCAACTAGCGCGCTTTTGCTCCATTCACCGGCATAACTGCTTCGG